CATCCCCATCCCTCTGCCTCCCTCCCCACACCCTGCACATCTTCCTTCTCTCCCTGTACCGCTGCTGCCCTCTCCTCAGCTCCAGCCACCCATTTGCTTACTCTTACAAGCATTTACTGCCTAATGACACCAATTAGCTGCAGAGTTGCTGGGTGGCTAGTTATTGAGTGACAGCTGTGCAGCCACTGGCCAAAGGTGAAATGTTACCCCTGCAGCAGGCAGTTTCCACCTGCTGGGGCCAAGCTGAGACCTGGGTAAACTCAAGACACAGTGCAGGCTCCCACTTGTACCAGAGAAGCCAGGGTTAACCCCTGGCGTGGGCAGAGGGCAGCAATGCCCTGTGGCATTCAGAAATGGCAGCCCCGGGGCACAGGCCACTCCGAGCACCCAGTATCACCCGGTCATGGTCTCACGCTAGGTGTCCTTGGCGGAAGATGGAGCTGGCGTGGGCAGAGGGAGCCACACTATAGTCAAGGTCACCCGGCCCACTGAAGCAGTGCCGGGGGCACATCCCGCTCCTTGGCTGGCAGCACCAGACTTCCGCGACGGAGCAGAGCCATTGAGGAAGGAGCCGGCTGGCACCCAGCCACCCTTGTAAAACGCCATGGGGGAGCTGCAGGCAGCTGGGAACGAGGGAACCTGGCAGGAGGAAGGGGGGTGGCAGCCACTGTGTGGTCCTGTTCCCCCCCAAAAAAGCCCATCCACACCCTGGCAGAGCCAGGTGCCCAGCGGCTCCCTGGATCTCCAAGCACCATCTAAAAGGCAGAAGCAGCCTTTCTGGAGGATGGCTGAATCCCAGCCTGGAGGGATAGCCTGAAGCCATAGCTCCCCATCTGCCCACCTTGCAGTGGGCAGAGCCACCAGCTCTCGGGGAGCGCCGCTGCGGCCGGAGGCTGCCCCCCCTGCACGGCAGGGGTTTTCCCGGGGAGCCCCGCTGCGGCCGGGGGCTGCCCCCCCTGCACGGCAGGGCAGGGGCAAGGCACCCACCTGCTCTCCCAGCCAGCCTGCTCCCCGGGTGGGCTCTGTGGCCACCGGCACCAGGGGGACCATGGCACATGGCCACCTGCAGAGGCAAAGGCTCCAAACACAGCCCCAGGAGCTCTCACGGCTGTGCCGGCCCCAGTCTGTGCCCGGCCCAACAGTCGCTGGCTGGCGTGGAGGAATGCAGCTCTGTGCAAACGTCTGGCACGGCTGACTAAATCCTGTTTGGAGACTAAGCCCATCACATCATGCTTTCCCCTTGGGCAAATCGGCAGTGAAGCTGTGGCTGAATGCTCCCAAACATCCCCCAGGGAGGTCTCCAGGAGGGCCCTTTCCCACAGCTTCCAACAGTACCAGCCGTTCATCATTTCCCCTCCTTGCCAGTCATGCTTCCATGGGTTCCCAAGCCGAAACGCATCCCCCAGGCCACCCGGCGGAGCGCAACCATGGGACATCAAAAGAAGGGCAGGCCGAACCCATGACCAGCAGCCCGGCAGCTGGGTATCACCCAAGCGACTGCCCTCCCTCCCTCAGCCCCTCTGCAAAGCTGAGCGTCCACCCATGGGCAGAGGATGCGCTAACACGGCCTGGGGAGAAGGAAACCCTCGGGGGATCCTGCGCCCCTCACACGTGGGGCCGGGGGACACCGCCAGGAGCCTGCAGTGCCCCACACTCATGCTGCCAGGGGGGGCCTGGCAGAGCTTGGCTGCCCCCGGAGGGGAGGCACCCGCTTCTGGCCCCTGCCCGCTCTTGCTGCAAAGCTGCCTGACCCCGAGAGGGGCTTTGCTGTGGGCTGTGCTGTGGGCTGTGCTGGGGGCTGTGCTGGGGGTCCCCCGGCGCAGCGGCAGAGCACCCACAAACTCATCGCCGGGAGGCGCGCGGTGGGGTGCTGCCCTCTGCTGGCGGCAG